GGCTTCAAGAAAACGCAACTTCACGCTCAAGCCCGAAAATGTGGCGTGGGCTTTAAGGTTGTCGTTCTCAGCCCGGATGGTGAGGGATATTGTGGAGTCCAGTAGGCCAGATTGGTCGTAGCCGAGTTTGTCTAAATGGGCCTCCGTTACGGTCAGGTAGGGGATCCTGGGCTGGTAAATCATGTAGACGATGAAAATGAACAGGCCCATTGCGATCACGGCGACGGCGATGATGGCGCAGAGGGTGGCGAGGAGCCAGATGATGGGGTTCGTTCGATCGCGCCGTTGGGGGATGAGTTTTGGCATTGGTGATGAGGAGGAGCTGATGGAGGATAAAGATACGTGGTCATGTTTATATGCGAGCGGTATCTTCCTTGCTTTGCGATGGAGGAAAATGATGGAACAATTTCTAAGGTTTTTTTTTTTTTTTTTTGTAAAAAAGAAATTCTGAACTTGCATGGGCTTCGTCGTTGATGTATGAATGCTGAGTAGGATTTTAGTCTCTATGTGATTATGGTTTTGGATGATGATGATGTCAAAAAAGAACGAGTTCATGGAAAAATACAGAAAACGTTTCGCGGAGAATTAAATGCACCAGCCGGGAATAGAACCCGGGTCTGTACCGTGGCAGGGGACTATTCTACCACTAGACCACTGGTGCAATGCTGGTGTATGTTCCTACATACGTGAACACAGATAGAGTTGTTCTACCACTAGACACCCTCAGTCCAGAAAATAAATGGAATATATTAATATATATAATTAATACTATATGAATATAATAGCTAATACTAACTTATGCATATATGTATGAATATATATATTATTCTATATATATATAAGAGAGAGATAGCAGGAATTCGGGACGAAGAGCAAACCTGCCGGAGAGGATGTCCTGAGATCACTTTGCCGTCATCCGCTGTCGAATTCAATGGCGTCAAATCCGATGCTCTCTTGCGAGGTATCTGCAATCCCTTTTACCTTCAGTCACGAAGAACGTCTGATTGGAGAGAGATGAATATGTGTATTGCTTGGTAGTGAGGTGGCACAGCTCCCCCTCCACTTTCATTCAAACATGCGGGCACGCACATTCAGGCATGAGTTGAGAAGCTGCATGAGGATATCGTAACCATTTGAATGAGTGGAGGGGATTATGTCACCTCACTACAAGCATAACTTTTTATGTTTGGTAATCAAGGCATACCCATTTTCCCATATATATATATTATATATATCATATGTATATATATGTACATTATATAATATTATATGAGATTAATTGGTCATCCTTGTCATAGGAGGCGGATTTCGCTCCTTGACGCGCCTGCTAAAACACATGATTGAACGGACAATGTGGATTGATCCGCTCGAGTTCAATGACTTGATCTAACATATTCCTAATAAGTCCCAACACCACCAAGTTTGCTGGAGGTGAACCCGTTAACGTCCGTTTGACGCCTTCATCCACTCGTATCATTTTGAACAGTTTTCGAATGCAATCAACACTTTTTCACATGGCTCGATGGGAGGGCTCAACGACGACGGATTCACCCCAACAGAACTTGGGGGTGTGTGCTGGGGTTTATAGAATATGTAAGATCAAGTTCAACGGAGCGCCGATCATCCACAATGCTCGCTCAATATAGTATTTTAAGAGGCGTCAAGAGGAAATTCCGCTCCTATTGACAAGGATACCATTAATCTCATATGAGATTATATATATATATAGTA